GGATCGTGATTTTCCGTTCTACTTCTTTCTTTTTTATGTCAAATTTATTGAGCAACAAGAAACATATACTTTTTGCGTTCAATATCTTTCGCTTCATAAATTTTCTGTTCCGTTTCTTAAGAAACTTATATAACTGCTCTTGGATTCAGGATAGGACCGCAAGGGCAAATTTTTGTTTTACCGATTTAAAAAGCATCACAACGACTTGTGGTATGAAATTACTATCACCTAATTGAGGCTTTCAATTTTTTTATTTTGCTTTTCTTTGTCAATGGCTAAAATTTGTACTAGTTATGTGACGTGGGTGCAAGAAGTTTTTGCAGATGGCTAGAGATCCAAACACAACTGCCTCAAGCATGCCTTCATCATCAGAATTGGTCATTAATATGGTTTTGGTAGGTCGTATTGGAAACGGGAAAAGCTCCTCCGGGAACTCCATCCTAGGAAAAAAAGTGTTCAAGACGAAAAGACAAGTAATGCCTGTTACCTTCAAATGTGAGATGTATAGTGCTGCGTTACAAGATGGCCCAACAATCAATGTCGTTGACAGTCCTGGTATGTGCTCCCTTAAAACTTGTTCTCATGGCTCTTTTTGTTTATTTCTTGACTATGATGTTTTGGACCTTTGTTCAATGACATGTTTGCTAAGAAAATATAATGAATATTTTTGATTTGAACAAAAAAATAAGAATAATATCTTTAATATAGTTTTTTTTCATATATATAATAAGTCGAGATATTAGGTATGATTTTTGATATAGTTGTTTTTTCATATATAATATATAAAAAAAAAAGAATAACCTTTGTTCAATTTATATTTTAATGTAGTTAACCATTTTTACAAATAGAAACACGTTTCTTTATGTTTCAAATAACTGTTTGTTTGTAGGTAGCAAAATCAAAAATGAACGAATGGTAGAATTTTAACCTCCCTGTCAGACATGTTAGAGTTTTAATTTCATTGGGGGAAATTGCTAAAATGGCTGCAACATTGAGCCAAATGCAAAAGAAACTCACCTAAACATTTTTTAATATATATATTTTAATAGAACGGTTACAAACAGTGACCATATAGTTTTTCAAACTAGATTACACAAAGTGTGAAGATAAAGTCAAAACATATGAAATTAGATAATAAATTGAATCTTCTTTTTCGATTTAGTAGAGATGTTAGTTAGGGAGATCGTTTTAGCCACGATCACTTTTACTCCGACAACGATTTCCACACGTAACTGATACAAAATGCAATTGCATCTCTTTTGCCTTTACTCATGGACTTGACCGATCTTTCTCAAAGAATCCTTTTGACTGGTCTCACCTAAACATTTTCTTTCAAAAGTTATTCAAATGGCTAGAATAGAAAATCATCGTTGTGACTCAATGTGATAAGTCATTTTTGCAATTCTCCCTCTTACATTTTCCAGTTCAACTATTTTGTTTTTTTTCCAGTTTCAACTAGTTATAAGCTAATTTATTATGGTTTTAAATGGTGACCAGTTGACCACTT